GTCATCTGTGTTGGTCTTGGTCAATTAGTAACTTGGTTGGACTGTTGGTGAGGGAGTAGTTGGTCAATTTTAACCTAATTCTTAAATCCTAAAGGTGAGATAAAGTATCCTCCTAAGTTCTTTGTCTATATACACATTACACAGAACTCTATGATTAATTGATTTATGTCTGTAACTTTGTATTCAATTCTTTGTATACACAAAGTTAGTTCTTTGTCTCTCAATCTGTCATGACTTTTTGGAATAATGGAATTGCATAAGATTTAGGTTAATAAAAAGGTTTCCATTTTCTCTTTTCCATTCGTCTTATTTCTTCAATTTATATTTAGCCATTTAGGCATTTAGTCTTTTATTGCTTGTTCACTGTTCAGAATCACAAGTGTAAGAAAAAACTGAAAATTTGTTCACTTGTTTTAGGTTCATCTTCTTATTTGTTTAGGTTTGGTTCAAATTGTCCAAACTTCAGTCTTCAAATTGTTTAGGAATTAGGTTCAAATGATCAAATTCTTATTTCTTATTTCTGAATATATGTTAATATGTACATGTGTTTATCTCTTGCAGTGCAATCAAAATCTTAGGACTTGGGAGGACCAAGCATTAATAGCCAACAGTAGTACTATCGTACTCACTCAGGTTGTTTTGTTCCTAATTTTTTTTTCTTTTACTTATTTCAGTTCCAATATGTCTTGTAGGGTTAGAAAATATGATTGTGGATGTCAAAAACGTAAAAAAAAAAAAAAAAAAAAAAAAAAAAAAAAATTGAAGAGATAATTCAATCTCAAAAGGGATCTCTTGATAAATTTGTCATAAAAGATGGTCGGTCTTCTCTTGACAATGAACATATTGATATTTATTTGGATGATGCTTGTGTTGATGCTAATGAAAATCCTAACATGGTGAATTTAGTTGACACTTTAAATGACTCTCATGAGGATTTGGCTACAAATGTTGATACTAATAATAATACTTCTAATGATGTTCCTGATGTTATTGCTAATAATGCTTCTAATGATGTTTCTGATGTTAATGCTAATAATGCTTCTAATGATGTTCCTGATGCTTCTAATGATGTTCCTGATGCTACTAATGGTGATGATGTTTTTGTTCATTTTGATATATTTGATCCAAGAAATTGGGATGCATTAGATTTTAAAATGATCGATGTGTTAGTTGCTAAGGGTCCTAAAAGATATTTGTCTGTTCAGAAAGGTCCTAAAGATAAATTGTCTAAACGCTTTTCTGCCATATTGTATACTAGAATTTTATCAAATGGGGAGAAATGTGATAGAGATTGGCTTGTATATTCAGTAGAGCTTAATAAAAAAATACATATAAAAGGTCAGTTAACAAATGATGGATTTGGGGATTGGTCACATCTTAGCACTAGACTTAAGGAGCATGAAACAAGTATAAATCATGTAATGAATATGAAAACTTGGTATGGTTTGCGGCTAAGACTTCAAAAGAATCAAACCATTGACAAAGGTGTTCAAACCCAAATAGAAAAAGAAAAAAATCATAGGAAAAAAGCTCTGGTAAGAGTTGTTTCTATTGTAAAATTTCTTGCAAAACATAATCTTGCATTTTGTGGAAGTAAAGCAAAATTGTATGAGAATAGCAATGGTAACTTTTTGGGTTTGATTGAGATGTTGGCTGAATTTGACCCAATTATTCAGGATCATGTTCAACGTATTACAAATGATGATTTACATGTTCATTATCTTGGTCCTAGAATTCAAAATGAGTTGATAACTTTGCTTTCCAGGAGACTTAAATATGAAATTATTAATAAAGTAAAAGAGGCAAAGTATTTTTCTATTATCCTTGATTGCACTCCCGATATAAGTCATCAAGAACAAATGTCCTTGATATTAAGGTATGTAGATGTCTCTTCTAAAATTGTTAGCATTGAGGAATCTTTTCTAGGATTTTTGGAAGTAGATAATACCACGGGCCAAGGTTTGTTTGATGTTCTAGTAGCTGAATTAAAATCTCTTGGTTTGGATTTAGATGATGTGCGAGGACAAGGTTATGACAATGGTTCAAACATGAAGGGAAAACATCAAGGAGTACAAAGGAAACTACTAGATATAAATCCTAGAGCATTTTATACTTCTTGTGCTTCTCATAGTCTTAATTTAACTTTGTGTGATATAGCCAATACTTGTGGTAAAGCTAGAGATTTTTTTGGAATAATTCAACGTATTTATACAATATTTGCTAATTCCACTAAAAGATGGCAAATGTTTAAAGATAATGTAAAATGATGGACCGTCAAGTCATTGTCAACGACTCGCTGGGAGAGTCGTATTGATAGTGTAAAAGCTATAAGATTTCAAGTGTTAGAGATAAGAGAAGCTTTACTTCAAGTGGCTGAAACAGATAATGACTCAAAAATTAGAAGTGAAGCAAATTCTTTAGCACACAATGAGCTTGGTGATTTTGAGTTTCTAGTGTCAATGGTGGTTTGGTATGAAATATTGTATGCCGTAAATTTGATTAGTAAACATTTACAGTCAGAAAATATGTTAATTGATGTTGCTATTGATCAAGTTAAGGGACTAATTTCTTATTTTAAGGGATATAGAGAAACATGATTTTTAGATGCTATAGAATCAGCAAAAATGATTGCCACTGAATTGGATATTGATCCGTTGTTTCCTCAAAGACGTGAAATTCGAAGAAAAAARCATTTTGATGAAAATCCGCGTGATGCATCYGAMATGAATTCACAATCAACGRAKGAGTCATTTARAGTTAATTATTTCTTATGTGTCKTTGATCATGCAATTGCTTCACTAAGTAGGAGATTCGAACAATACCAAGAATATGAAAATGTGTTTGGGTTTTTGTTTACATCTGATAAGTTGCGTTCTTTGGATGATACATGTTTAAAGTCTTCTTGTACTAATTTTGAAAATGCACTGAAAAAACAAGACCAATCTGATATAGATGAGAATGACTTATATGTTGAACTGAAGATACTTCAAGATCTTTTACCCACACAAAAGATGAGACCTCTTGATATTTTAAAGTATTTGAAACATGTTGAATGCTTCCCTAATGCGATTATTGCTTATAGAGTTTTGTTGACTATTCATGTAACCGTTGCATCTGCAGAAAGAAGTTTTTCAAAATTGAAGTTGTTGAAGTCTTATATGCACTCCACAATGACACAAGAAAGGCTTAACGGACTTGCAATGATAACACTTGAAAATGACTTTTTGGAGAAAGTTGATTATGAAGAACTTATTGAAGATTTTGTTTCCAAGAATGTTAAAAGAATGATTTTATTCAAGTGAAGTTTACATGTTATATTATTACTTTGTCTTGCTGTTTTTATTTGTAAGACTTTAAATATATTATGAACATTTGTATTTAACATTTATTCGTTTTGTCGTCCAATCTACTTATATTTTTTATAATAGTGTAACAGGGCCTCCAAAAAAATTAGGACGGCCCTAACCATAACTATTATTTATTAGTTATAATTTACCTAGTGTCAAAACTTAATTTTACCAATTAATTCAAACATCGCATTTTTAATTTGGAAGCATGTATGATGTATGGACTATAAGAGTATGGTTGTTTTGTTTATTTTAATTGTATATATTTTGATATGTAATTTTTTTTAGTTTACGGTTTAATCTTTAAATCCCATACTCAGCTCAAACTGTTTAAACAGGTTGGATAATACCACCTTTTTATGGTATAGTTTGACTGGTCTGGGCATCTCATTTCAAGCAGCATAGTTTGAAAAAAGAAACTAAAATTGTCGCTTGCAGTATGGTCTATTAGAAAAAAAAGTTTAAACCATATAGACCAGACCGTGAACACCTCTACTCAACCTCACCGTATGATTTCACGACATGATTTATACTAGGTGTTATTTTTTTTCTATACCTAACTATGTGATCTGATTTGCAATTTTAAATTACTCGATTCAAATTGCATCACACCATAGACTAATAAATAGTTGATGTCATAATATAAATAGTTGATGATATTTGTTTTGATTTCTATTTTTATCAATGATTTTAACATAATTTTAACTAATAATTAAATATATTTATAGAATTGAATTTTGTGAAATTTATAATGTCTCTAACACAATTTAATTTTATATTCAACCATGTTATTTCCATTTTACCATTTAAATATTTAAAGATTTTGTGTTCATTGATAATTCGGTTTATTAAAAATGTTGTCAACGAATATATTTATATTATATTATAAATTATTTAACAAAATTCATAAAAATCATTTGTTTATGTATTAAGTACTGTTTATTGATGCATATTACTTAAAATTCAAGATTAGAAGTAAATTGTACAATTTACTAAAGCTCCACGTTTGAATTTATGTAATTAACTGCAGATAAACATAATTAAATACTGGATAGATAGCATTTTAAATACAAAAGATCTAAAAAAATCTAAAATATATTTAGGATAATCATTTAATTATTATTTTTATAAAAAAAATTTATTATTAAATAAAAAATGACTTTATTATTATATCTAAAATAAATTATAATAAAAAATTGAATTACAAAAACTATACAAAAAAAAATAAAGACAACTTTTAAATATTTAATTTGATACTAAATCGGTACAAAAAAAATTTCAAATTTTTATGATAACCTCAAATTTATATTTTATTCAAAAATAAAAACGTTATCGTTTTTTAAATACCACATAAAATCGTATTATAACATCAACGGAGACAATACAACAAAATATAAAATCAAAATTTATCTCGCTGCATTGTACGTATATCCTTCTAGTATTATTATAATAGATTTATAATTAATGCAACTTTATTTTTATTTTGATCTTCAAATGAGTATGTTATTTTGAATGGAATATGGACACAATAAGACTGTATATTACCACTTTAACGTGCATCACGTTTTACATCATTATTTAATTTGTTGTTTTTGACTCTAAACCACATTACAAGCACCCTTATCTGATGGTAAACTTGAGCCTTGTTCACTTGGTCGCTAACGATCACATATCATACCAGAATTATGCAAAAATATTAAAATAAATATACAAAACATTAATTAATTAATTTATTCGATGCTTATGACAGATTCAAATAAAAGTTGCAGTATTTCACAAGGACTACATGTACAATACAAAAACAAGTTTTACATGAATCTTTCTGAACCCAAATCCAAAACGGTACGAAAGAACCGATGCGGGTACACGGGCGGTTCCTCCGCAAGTGCCTACGATGAGAGTGGTAAGGTTTTAGGAATCGGAGGTTACAAATGCAAGCTTTCGTAGATGTTAAAGTTACACTAATGATGAGAAAAAGACTAGTCTTGATTCATTCATGCCTTGGGTTGTTTTATGTTGAGGAATGAATATCACAAAATATCATTTTGTTCGTTTCTCATTTCCCGGGTCTCGGTTCAATAATTTGATGTGAGATAGAGAAATGAGAAACGGAACAAAAGGAAATGGGATAAACCCACAAAGAAACTTATAGTTGCTTGGATATAGCGTTGACCGTCTTTGACTTGCAACTCAATCCAAGACTTCTCACATTGAAAATTGACGAGAACGTTTTTGAATTTTTGGCAGCAACTGTTTTCTATTTTGTAATAGGCTTGATTTTCGTTCAATGCATCATAAGAAAACCAAACCCAGTATATGAAGGTAGGGTGTGAGAGGGTATGATGTACGCATATCTTCCCTCTGTCTCTATCACATCTTAAGAAAGAATTCATGTCAATTATGAAGTTGGAAAAGTAGCATATTTGACCCTTAACAAATCAGAGCATGAACTTTTTGTACAGAAAATTAAAAAATAACCTTTATCAAGGATTGTAACAGGAATCTTGTGAATAACAACTAATAGCTTCAGTTTTCTTGTACTAGTTTTAAATAATGGAAGCATAATAAGTAATTTTAACTTTGGAAACAACCTCTATATCCGTTAGGAGTAGAGGAAAAGTCTATGTACATCCTACTACCCCCCCAGACCTTTAGCGACTTGAGAGTGACATATATATATATATATATATATATAATATATATATTGGGTGGGTTTGGTTTATAGGTAATTGAAAAGAAGAAGTGTCATGATTTATCTAGAAATACCTGATGAATCAATACAGTTGAAGGAGTCATCCCGGGCACAGTATTGACTTCGATGACTAAAACCTGTAATCACTCATTTGGTGAAAATACCTCAAAATTAGAAATATTGTGGACATAAATTAATGTTATTAGTAATTACTCATGGTTAAAGAGGTATTTTTGCATGAAAAATTCACAATGAATAGAATCTATTTTGCAAAAAGGAAACCACTGCATTCATTTTGGGATACATGACAAAGATCAATATCAGACATACTTATCAATTGATAAATTAAGGGTAATTTTTAGCTCAAAAGTATGGAAAGGAAACATGGACATACCTCGCCACTATCGACATTAACAAATGCATCAATACGAGAAAATCCTTCAAGCTCCAGAGTGTTAGCAATAAGCTCAATGCGTTCTTTGCATCTCATCAACGCCTCAGAACTAATTCAGGATAAGGCAAAACAAGAGAATGTTCACAATAAGAAGGGAACTCAAAACTTATAACGCTAAGAAAGAAAACGACAACCATTTATTAATTGACCCAAAATATTTGCAATCCGTGACGTCAAGAGAATGTAATGGTTATATATATTTATAAATAATAACATAAATATGGAGAAAACTATTCTTCTACACAAGCCATCTGTTAACCAAACTCTGAGAAAATTGGGCAAACTGAAGGAAAATGCAATGTAATGATTTGTACTTCCAAAACCTTCATTTTGAAGCACATTAGATTTGATATCTCAACCATTTTAGATCAAAGTTCGTTACACAAAATAAGAATCGGACTAATGTACTTTGCATTTTCAGATGTAAACTATGTACCTAAATCTTAGAGATAGGTACCAATATAAAAGTTCTGAAAGTACGTTACATATAATAGTAATCATACCAAAGTACACGTTGCATTTTCTTGCAATTTGGTTGAGAAAATATATTAAAGTTAGGGATAACATGGTTTTTACGCTTTAAAGTCATCGGGTCTATCAATGAATTCTTCTTTTGGTTACCGAGTTGAGAGGTTAAACACTAGTTTTTTATTTAGGTTTCTTGAGCTTTTAAAGAATGACCTGATACAGTGCCTAGCAAATGGAGGTTCAACTAGCCAGACACGGTAGAAATTTTAGTTCCGTTAAAACTCAAGATATATCATACAAAAACTAATTTTGCGGATGAGCGGTGGATTCAGTTAATAATAAAACATAATTACATAACTAACCTCATTATTGACAATGGGGGTGGGGTAAGATTAATCCCTGTTCCACCTGCAAGGAAGTAATTGCTAACATTAAAAGACACGGGCTGCCAAATTAAATACAATAATGAAACATTTCCTTCGTGAAAAAGGTACCATCCAAAAAATTACATCTTTGACCTTGATTTTGGTTAACATGATTCCTTGTTTTGGATTACTGTTAAATATTGGAAAAGTTGCATTATACAGGGGAGTACAAACATGTTTTTACACCATTTTAGCATCAAGCTAATAATGTTGGCACCAAAAAGAACAAATTGCAGGTATCAGAACAGATGAATGGAAGAGGGTACCTCGTTTACCAAAAAAAAAAGGTACCTTGAAATTTCTCTTCGAGAGATAGTATGTCCCCACTTTCTTTAACGGTGACACTAGGCATTAAAGAGCGCATGGAACCTCGTTTACCTATGACGCCAACAGTTATTTCAACCCATCTACTACGCCCTTCCCACAAGAGACGTTCGTTTTCATTTGTTGATTTGGATACAATAGTGATATCATCCGTTTCAATGAAAGGTTCAAAGATTAAAAACTCCGGTGGAGGAACTGGCATTTCAATTAACCCATGAGCCTATGAAAAGTTAACAAGAAACATTTGTAATCGTTTCATCATTAAATTGTAAAACAACTACCACAATAAGAAAATGGAATATGAACACATGACCATGACGTGTGCATTAACAGTTGGTGTAACCATAAATCCTACAGCATTCATTAAAATATATTGACTTTGCCATTCCATTTATTCCGAGTTAAGCATTTACTACAATGGAAGCTTCAAAACCTGCTTAATTGAATCATTTTTTCCGAATTAAGAGGAAAAAGTCATATGATATCTTTTTGTACCTTTGCCAAGCTATTTGAAGGAATCCGAGGAAGGCAGTCCTCCAATGCTTTTACATAAACGCCAAGGTCCTCTGCACAGCTGAGTTTTCAAAAAGATAAACGAACAGCACAGTATAATGTAATATATACATAGTGGTGATAAAATTTTACTTCCCTCCATCCTACAGAAATTGAACATCTTGGGAAGTTTTCAGGATGAATTATTATTTGCCCATGATTTTACTGATGTGGTCCACAATTTTTTTATTTTTTCATTATTTGGAAATTGGAATCCATTTAAGACATTTGACAACAGTCAAATACTGGTCCAATCTTGTGATTTTCATGGGACAGAAGGAGTAATTCAAGTTCTACTTCAAATGAAAACATGTTATGGTAGGGAACTTACCAGAGTCTTGCCACTCCGGTTGAGCATCCATCTCTTGCTGGTTTGATACATAAGGTCTCACATTGGAGCTTTGATATCACTTCATGCCAAATGTCTGATGTAGCGGCATTCAGAAGATCATCTTTTCGCCTCACGTCCTTATTAATAGTCAGAATCCCGAAGTTTGTAAGCTGTTCAGATGAAGTCAATTAGTGCTACAATGGCTGCTGAAAACAGCTTTTGGGCCGCCATGAGAACCATTAGAGACTTGTTCAATCACTAGGAGTCAGCTTTATTGCTGGATAAAAGTTTTTCAACTCAACCCCACCCCTCGGTTTACTCACCTTTGGGTGAGGTTCTCAGTTCATCATAATAAATACCCAGAAGCTCCCTGTATTTTATAACCATAAAATTTCTACTTGTGCATTCAAGGACTCTTGGTTCAGATGGGAAAAGACCAAACATGGAAGAAATTATGCTTATGGGTTAAAAATGATAATCTATCTGTCACAGAATATGAGTCCACATTCCAATTTCAAACGGCAAAGGGGTTACCTTTCCAAATCAAATTTTGACATAAACATCTTGGCCTTAGATAACCATACTGAACTACAAGAAAGGAGTATCACAAAATGAAAAGCTCGAAGCTAAATAATTTTGGAACATCTGAGTCAATTTTGAATTTGGCAGTAGTAGATTTGATTATCGAAGATCGAAAGTGAACTCTAATTGTGGGGAAGAGGAAGTAATAAGAACTACGATGGTGATTATTATAATCGTAACACTGATAATCTAATGACTTCCATATGGCATTCGAAATAATCTAATGACTCCTGAAAAAAAGATATGGAACTTTGAACCCTACCATCTTAAAGAGAACATGTTAAATGTTACCGTACATGTTTAAGAGCAAGAGATGTTGCAACTTTATCCATACATGTCCTTGAAGCCGAAAATCCAGGACCTTGAATATAAAAAGGGATACATTAGGTAAATCACTTCAATTGAATAAAAGGTAGTCTTCTAATATCAGTAAAAAACTGCTACCTGTATAAGGTACTCCTTCAGCCTCCAGCATCGACTGAAGCGTACCATCTTCACCTATGCCTCCATGCACTGTCCATAACACCGAATTAAAACCATTAAATTAGAATACTTGTCTAACTGAGAGACAACAGAGTCACATGCCACACACTATAACCAGTCTACAGGGCAGATAGTTAAGTGAATAGCCACATTGAACAGTGGAAAGATATTCTTGTAATCATCAACACTTAAATTAGTTAGTGCAATTTGAATTTACGATATTCCATTAAAATTGCGATTGTTATAAAAATCTGGCAGCTAGAGTACACATCAATGTGGTTTAACATAATAACAAAATAACTGGCGTGACTACTTTAGGATGTAATGTGAAATTAAAGTTAAAACAAATGACACCAAGATTGTAAATCATTTTCTTTCATCAATCAATGAATATATCGAGTTGCAATATGGTATGTCAAAGCTATAACCTACCAATTGTGGGTCTAATTAGGAGTCACCAAGTGCGTTATCTTCTCTTTTGAGAAAATGAGGAATATTATTTGCAAGAAGTAAAAAAACATTTTGGCCACTGTACTGCTAAAATCACTTCCATGGATATAGTATCTCATGTTCCCATCAGTCATATCTTTAGGCCAAAATAGCATTTTCTGAAACAATTTCCCTTAATGACCCTTGAAATAACATCGATTTATCACGGGTAACCTAGTGATTTTCTTTATTTGGCTGGAAAACAAAATCAGTGAGCAAAAAATGACTGGAACAGGAGATACAGTATAATTCTCTAGTAGAGTGACTGTAAAATATATTTTGGAATAGTACAGAGGCCATGTATTTACATTCAAGTACAGCAAACGAGTAGGCTCTACTAACATGTTCCTAAGCACTTTATATTAAAAAAAATATGACACATTCCTCTTGAGTATAGCTATTTATCCAAAAATTTCCACGCATCTGTTAATTCCCAATTACATTATACCAAAAAACATAATCAGCTCGTCAAGTATCTGCAAACCTGCGATGAAAACCGTTGCTTGAACATCCTTGGCTAGCTTTATCCATTTTTCTAGTGTGAATTTCATAGGTGGTTCATCAGATATATCAAAACCAGTGAACCAATTGTGTTTCTTCAAACCATTGGCAAGATCGTCCATCACTTGCTTCCTCAAGTGAGAAGTCAAAGCAGCACGGGCAGGTTCAAGTGCTTCTGTGCAAGCATCAAGAACTTCTTCTGTGGTATGTCTTAGCACAAGAGAGTAACTATATGCACACAGAAACGATATAATTTTCTACTCAGAAAAAGTAATAAAAGATCAGCATATGCTTATAATTGAAAATATCTAAGTCAGTTTTATCCGTGTCTTTCCTTTTCCGTTCTTTTTTATTACTTCGATGAGGAGGGGTGTGAGCCATTGGGCAACTAGTAAGGTTACTCCATTGTGAGTGGGAAGGTCAGGTATTTGGGTCATGGAACCAGCCTCTTTGCAACAATGCAAGGGAAATGTTGTGTACAAAGATTTCCCTTAGGACCCTTGGTGCACCCATGTCACCTTATTTTTATATTATTTCCAGGGGTGAACACAAGAGACTTGACCCTGCGAACTTGCAAGGCTGAATGGAAATCCTTAAAACTAGGTTATCACGTTGGTTTCATCATGTATCTTTTATAAAAATCAGTGTGAAAGAATTTTCATCCCACTAGTATCATCACTGAAATACTCGTTAGACATTTGTTTTATATTTCACCGAGTCCTCAAAGTACTTCTAAACTTGCCAAAAAGAATCTGTATGTCTCATCATGCTTTCAGGAATTGATTATCAAACAAACTGCTAAATTTTTCTATGTGTTACTATATACTCCTTTTATCCCATGATAAAAGATAGGTGTAAGCCTGCTGCTACCTTCCCTTCTTCTCCTTTTGGGTCGATCCCAGTTTTAGCCTAGGTTGGATCACAAACCGAGTCATGACAAACTCAACATAATTTAAATGAACTTTCTGGTTCTTTCAGCTTTCAGGGCATTATTCACAGTCACTTTCGAGTTTGATAATAAAAGTCATCTTTTTATTGGTACTTTCTTCACACAATCATCCTTCAAAAGTTAAATTTTGATTGCCATACAATTTCATGCATGCCAACTCAAATTTTGTAATATAATGTAATCCTTTTCAATGTTCAGTGACAAATTTCAATTTTACAATTTGCACATAATATATTTTAATAATGATTTGTGGTGTTTAAGTATAAAAAGAACATATTATTTTCATAGTTTTTACGTCTAAAGGAAAATGCTCTTTTGTTTCAGAAAGAGAGAGTATAATAGGACAAACCACATATTATATGTGAGCTCAAAAGTTTGGTTAGCCCTGAAGTAACTAGGGGTGTCTCAAAATGAGCTGGATTATTGGTGCCCGTTGTTAACTAGATCCACCTGAAAATTTATGTATTAACTCACCTCTGAACAAAATGATTCCTTCATCAAAGCAAGAGATAGCTTAATCATGTTTTAGTTCAACGAACTTAAAGCATTAATTAGCTTAGAATGCACTCACTAGTTCTATAAAACATAAGCACATGTAATAATTGAACTCCACTTACGGTAATGACAACACTGTCCTCGAGCTGACACCCTTTTGGTTGTGAACATCGTTGACCTCAGATGAAGCATCATTACCAGGAGCAAGTAAACAAGGAGTTACTTCAAGCTGTAACCAACCAGAATGATTTCATTATCTTAATTAAGAATGATAACTCGTTGTAATTGATCGCTAATCTGGATTCTTAATTTACACCAACAAGATGGTTGGCTTCTGTGCTTTGTGAGGATTGGGAGGGAATATGCTTTTAGATAGCTTAAAAATTAAAATATTGGTTGTATGAGTTTGGATGTTTTTTATCATTCATAGTATAATGACTTGAATAAGCTTTTATAATATTAGAAGTGAAAATTAAAGCTCTGAACCTAAAATATTTGTATGCGTCTCATGGATGAAGCTAAACCATATGCCTTTTGGTTGGGGGGTTGAGTTGGGGAAAGACGTCCATAAAATTCCTGAAACTTGAACTAAAATCCTTGTTAAAATATTTCTTTAACCCTTTCGTATTTTATACTTGGTTCCCAGCTTATCTCTATCTGCCTACTGCAATTCTCTTTGCTTTTTTACGAGTGTTGTGTTGCAAACCAGACACTAAAACAGCTTTTATACCGTGTCCAAGAAAAACAAAAACAACTTAAACCAGCATAGCATATGATGGATATTTTTCCAATGAAGAAAGCTCACATCACCAGATACTTGAAGATTGAGCCAAACATTAGTCCCACTCATAAGAGATACTTGGCGTTCGGATGTGTCACCACCAAATATGACAAAGACTTTGCGATAACCTTGATGTTCGGGGACTGGTTCACCAAGCTTTGAAGACTTTGATCTTCTAGGTGATGGGATTGATTCACCACAATATGATGAAAGGCTGGGGAACCGCAAGCAAGCACGTTGGATAATGGTTCTGAGGATATTTGAGTGGGAGAAGCCAACCTAAAACAGCAATTTTCTATGTATCAGAAGCATGGGGAAAAAATTTGGAAAATATTTTGAATCAGAAGACAGCTTCTTCTCATGGCGCTAGTAATTATAATAACCATAAGCACAAATGATATTTGGACCCAGCTATCACAACACCATAGTCAAAGACATCAACATAACATTAGATGAGCTCTTATGGGTGCCAGAGTTAACTAGTAATAAATTAAAGGGAAAGATTACTTTTACCTAAAACTAATAGTAGTTTATTATAAGAAGCAAAAATAAAGAATACCCTTCCATCCTGTTTAAACTTCAGCAAATTCCTCGATGTCCCATTAAAATTGTAACACTTTTATGAAAGTATTCAAGTTAAAATTACATGTTCGTCCATTATAGCCATATTCACTTGGGTCCAAAGATTCATTTATTCTGTTTCCTCTTGATGTTTTAGATGTTTGACAAAGAGTGAAATGGTAGAATATAGTGTTAAAAAATACTTATACGAGCACACATCTATTGGTAGATGGAAATCAGTCACATGATTATTGAATGACTCAACTATAGTAAATCAGTACAACATATCAATTTGCACATCTCAAAGTAGGCAACAAGACTACCTTTGAAGCTTGCTGAAACAGGAAACTTGTTTGCTCCATTCCACTAATCTAAACAAGAACAATGATATGTTGATATAAAGCGTACATATAAAGGTTATAAACAGGGTGCTTCACTACAAATATAAAAACATTCACTCTTTTACCAAGTTGATATCAGTAAAGATGACGATTCCTGATTCAGTCCTCCCAAAGTCATTTGCTTTTGATGATGATGTACTAGAAGAAGGCGGCAAAAACCAACCATCAATTCTGGCAAAATCCCGTAAACCAAGCCTTTTAAATAATATAGATGCCCCTTCTTGAATTTTCTGAATTACATCTAACGGAAAACGAGGTGGAGTGTGATAAACAACCTGAAAACCATGTACAATGGGTAAAGCATCAATGTTTTGACAATAAACAACACTGAAGAAAGGACCACCATGGATAAAGATTCCAACTTGTAGCCCATATCCACTCGTACTACCTGCTGAGTAGGAAGATACTTCCGCCGGTAGTTAAATATTGCATCCCTCTCACTTATATCATCACTATTGCTAGACTGAAGTTCCACCTGTATAGTGCAGATAAAACATAGTATTAACAATAGATCTTCAAGTTAGCCATTTATATATCCTTCTGCATCGACTTAATCCTTACTTTTCTTGCAAATGAATCATGTTAGGCCCTCAGAGTCAAGTTGCACAATGTACTCATTTAGTATCATAATTAGACACAGTATCTGCATGTCATGTACTTGAAAAGTGTTTTCATGCTAGTTAATGTGCATTGCATAATAGGCTAGACGGGTGTAAGGTAAATTCCTTACATATCCTTTATTTATCTTAAGATGGTCAAAGGTGGTTGATCATCTTGATTTGGGGAAGATAGTAAAATCATATTAATTTATTTAAGATATTAAATCATCCTAATTTAGTCGGGGAGATAGTTTAATATTAAGGTGATATCTTGATGGAAGATTTACATCAAATCTACAGGTTTTTGGGTCCTCTCCTTACCCATAAAAGGGATTGAATACCCTCAATTCAATCCATCCCCAAAAAATAAACTTAAAGGAATCAAAGGCACGATAGAGAAATCAAATACCACCTTGGAGCATTCTACAGTACGTTTCGATTCACAGATAATGGCTTCTATGTTTTATGCTCATATGAATATGTGATTACCATGAAGTTCAAAGATATTAGGTTTAAGTATTTCATACTTCACAAAAGGCACCTGTGTACTCTATTTCTATATGTATCTTGGCTGACCTTTACTTCTACCAATCACCTCCTCCTGGAAACTAGGTGCAAGATTGAAAATTAAATACTCCATCTCAAATAAACACAGTGTCTAACTGGTCACACAGTTAATGGAAGTGTATCACTATTAACCATATCTAAAATACCCCTAATGATGACAAAATAGAGAAACTTGTGGACTTAATAGTATTTATAATAATGACCTAATTAGGAAACAGTCAGTGAGGCAATTTTGGATTAAAACTTGCCCAAAATAGAAATATTCCATTTATATCAAGACATCCCAAGAAGGATACTGTTGCATTTATTCTTGGAAGGAGTGAAATGAAGTATATGTACATTGGAAAATATAAGGTACTCTTTGTCTTGCCCATTTAATATTTTCATTTTGTCCTGTTTATATCATATGAGGAGAATGAAGACCTCATTATGGGTCCCATTGATTTGGTGTAATGAGGAACGAATATGGGAACCCAAAAAATGGAATATCAAGAGAAATGAACAAAAGAATAACTTCTAAACTATCAGACATTTAGATGTTAATCACCTCCGTTGGCAGGAATACAACTGGTTGACAGTCAAAACTAGAACCAACATCAAGAACAATTGCTGTGAACTCTCTACCTCCTCCAAGAAAAATTTCAACAATGACCTTATCGTCAATTCCCTGACATAGAAGAAAGGAAGTCATATCAATAAACATAGGACTGACACAAGGAATAATCTCTACTTACGAATTCATATAGCTGTGACATTTTAAAATATTTGATCCTTTTGTAGAACAAAACAAGACTTGCTTGGCTTGCTCAGGATAAACTAAACATCTTGAGTTTGTATCCCAGTGCCCAATGAATTACGTCATATTGTGCACTGTGCACAACCGATGTATAATGTAAAACCAACCTCGTATATGGTCCATAAATTGAAGTCAGAAAAGAAACCATAGTAAAAGACTGAGGAAGTGGAAAAGATTAAAAGTACCTCAGAAATAATTTCTCTAACTTTCATTAAGGAATCAGTCACACCATAGGCAACTGTAACTCCGATACTTGATCCTGCTCTTGTTGGTTTCACCTGAAACCATGTGCGTAAACCTCGAGTATGTAATTGGAACAAGATTTTAACAGTGTTCCATTATCGATGCATATAGTTCAGAAATAATAACTACCACAACTTTCCCTGAGTTAGCATCCAGTTGATTGTCGAAAAACCATCTCGACAAACCAAATTCATCCAATTCACTACCCTGAAATTTAATATCTGAAGTATGAGCACAGAAAATGTAGGCAGCTTAACGTGTATATGGATAAAATGCCTTTTTAATATCCAAGTGATAACATAGAAATATTAGCAGTACATGCCAAAGAACTTAAATGTTGAAAAAATCATTGCATTCTCCCAAACTGTGCAGAGATTACGAAACTCCAAACATATATCCCTGCCATCCCATGAGATTTGCAACATTTGACTTGCCATATAGTTTATGGGAAGGGTTTGACGATTTCTCTTAGTCTTAATATAGGCAAAGTAAACAAATTCGGTAGATCAAAATCAACAAAATCAATTTACTTTTAATGGTGATGATGGGCAAACATGTTTTAATTTGGAAACTTCCCAAGAAAGAAAATGTTGCAATTTTCTTGGGAGATCCTCAAAAGGAAATTGTAGCAATTTCAGTTAAAAAGAGGGAGTGCTAGCTTAATAACAAGTTACCAGTAACGTAATATTTATGTTAATGATTGAATTCTAACAAATTATCAAGACTGACATCATGGAAGTTATTCGTAGAGAAAAAAAAAAAAAATAAGATATAAAGTAACTGCTTGGATAAACTAAACAATACGAATCTCAGTACGTAGTATAAAAAAAATTGGGATAGGATCTTCCCCCCTCAAAATCGGATGTAAAGTTCACTTCCATCCGGCTTAAGTAGGTATATTGTTGATATAATGCATAATTTTGCAGATTTAAGATGGCTATGACTACACAAGCTGAAAAGAGAAGCAAAAGAACGGAAAACTCGGAAAGCATAAATAAATAAGGCTAATAAAGATAAGCATATTTTACTCGAGGAAAATACCTGTAGTACAAAGTTGGGCACTGTTATGAATCCTTGTTTCTTAAGCTCCAAGGAGGCATCATACTGCCAAAGACAATGGACGAAAAATGAGCATCAGTCACCATAATAATATCTAATCTCTAGAAAAGAGTAATTTGGCATGTGCACTAAAACCTTTTCACAACATTTAGTTACTTTTGAGCCCTATATATCAATTGGGAAAACCTATAATTCTCACAAGTGAAACCACACTAGCTGTTGGCCTGGATCTCTTTTGTAACATTTCATCCTACATCGGTGGTGAGTGTGAATTCTGAACCTCTTATAAGTCCTAGGTTATGGGCTATAATAACTTTCACCATCATTTTAGTTGATTTATTTGGTTATTAAGTTAGTTTACTGCTTTGGGCAGCTGTATTACAAATTGGTATGAGAGAGAAACCCCCTTGAGGTGTGTTGGGTTGCACTCACTCATCTCCAGCGGATGACGGTTCTCGAATTTTGAACGGGTTTCTGTCCAAGTCTGACGAGGACCTCAGAAATTTAGGTAGGCAACTTGTAACTTACCGTCCCAGTAAGTAGTGAAATCAGAATCCCCAAGTATTTTTTGAAGTATACAAAATTTATATATGGCATATGAAATTCACACACTCACCTTTGGTGAGGTAGGAACCCTTGACCTCTAAGAAGGTTGGGTTACTAGATACTGTTGGGCCAATGGCCCTTTGGTTATGGGCTACCATTTTAGTTGATTTCTAGCTAGCTGGGTCAGTATACTGTTTTGGATTAGAGTGTTACAAATGGGAAAGCGATATAGCTCAAGGCATAGTGGGACAGAGTCATACATCTCCAGATACAACAGATGTGGGATACTGTTTGGGCGTCTGTCCAGCCTGATGAGGACGCATGAGTTTTAAGTGGGGGAGTTTGTAACATCTTGTCCCATATTGCTCATGAGTGTGAACTATAAACCACTTATAATTCCTTGGTAATGGGTTACCAATAATTTCTCACCATGGTTTAAGTTGATCAGGAGGTTATTGGGCCAATTTGTTGTAGGCGTTGGCATTGCAAATGGCATGAGAGCCGTGGCCCCTCAAGGTGTAGTGGGTGGGATTCTAGGATTCTGATTGGGTTTTTCTGCAGGCCTGACTATGATGCGAAGAATTAAAGTTTATCGCATTCTATCTACATTGGTATCTAGTTTGGGATGTGAACCCTGATCCTCTATTATGGTCTATCAATAACTTCTTGCCATGGTTTTTGTTGATATGGAGGTTATTGGGTCAGTTTACTGTTTTGCGCTAACATGTTACAAATGGTATGAGTGGTGGCCCTTAGAGGAGTAGTGAACCAAGACCCACGATAATACTTCTTGGCTCTAATTGGGTTTCTATTTAGGCTTGAGAAGATGGTGAAAATTTTAAGTGAGGAAGTTTGTAACATCCTCTCTCACATTGTTAGTGAGATTGAACTTTGAACCCCCTGTAATTCCTTTCTTATGGACTTTCAATAACTTCTCACCATTTTTAGTTGGTTTGGAGCTTGATAGGTCCATTAATTACTATGGGATAAGGTGTCATAGATGGTATGAGTGTGGTGGCCCCTTGAGGTGTATTGAGTCAAACACATGCATCTCCTAGGGATGGTGGTTCTCTGATTCTATTGGGTTTGGCTTAGGCCTGACAAGGTTGTGAAGAATTTAAGGGAGGGAATTTGTAACATCTTATGCCACATGGTAGTGAGTGAACTATATATTGCTTATAAGTCCTTTCTTATGAGCTACAAATAACTTATCACCATGGTTTTAGTTCATCTCAGGGTTATCAGATCAATCTATCACTATAGGCTGATGTGAGCAAATGGTATGAGCACAGTGGGGCCTCAAGGTGAAATGGGTTGGACTCATGTATTCCTAGGGCTGATGATTCTGGCATTTTGTTTGGGTTTCTATTTGGACTTTATGAGGATGTGAGAAATTTAGGTGAGAGAGTTTACAACATTGTGTCCCACGTATAGTGAGTGTGAACTCTAACCTCTTGTAAGTTCTTGTAGGCCACAATAATTTCTCACCATTTTTGTAGTTGATTTGCAGGTTTTGGGTCAGTCTATTGCTATGGGCTGCGGTATCTCTTTTCCAGTTAGGTTGCATAGTAAGACACAGATGTATGAAAAGAGGACATGCAAGAGCCAGTATCTACCTTGTCAAATGCTTGACGACATTCGTTTGATCTTGTGCCAACAAATGGAACATTCGATTTTTCAAGAAGCTCCTGAAGAGTCGGTAATAAGCAAAAACCTTAAACACACCCATTATTACTACAAGAATTTTCTATATCTTTTGGTATGAATATATTTCAGCAATGGTTATAACCTGAATGCCACCATCCTCACCAAAACGACCATGTATAGCAGGGAAAACTATGTCCACAGTAGCAGCTAGGTGTTCTGCAAAGTCGGTCAGAGTCTGGAAACCTTGTGCCAGGCTGACAAAAGAAGTCATATAGAATCTCAGTGTTCCCAAGAGAATGAACTGAAAACACAGAAACTACAATTCTCATTGATGATTTACCTTTCAAGTTTGAAATCAAAATCGGCAGGAGTATTTGAATAAACCTGCAAATGTAATTGGGATAATAACAGAAAACAAAAAGGTTACAAGCATCAACCATTACATCACTTTTCTTAGATTAGAAAAGGGTGTAGCTGACAACGTACAACAGTGAAGCAAACAACTAATGATAGGAATTCTTTGAAAGGTGTGTTTCTATTGTTCGTGAGGTCAAAGTTTGACCAAGATTTATCATATGAAATAAAAATTTCTGAATGTTTCAATGATTAGCCCAATATTGGTTTGCAGGCAAAGGCTATAAAACTTGTTTGCAGAAACTACGGTTAACTTTTTCAGGAATAATATGATTTAAGTACATAACAATCACAAAGAATGTTCTTATAAGCCACAAATTTACAGATCAACAAGGATGGAAAAACTACGCCAGAAAATATCAGGCATGGAAGCCTGAAACAGTTAGAGCTATCAATGGAAAGAAACACATTGGAAACTGCCTTTTTGGCATTCTTTAAAGTTATACTTCCCTGTTTACCCATTGGCATCATTACTACTTCTTGATGCTCTTCATTTCTGTCCACATGATTCCACTATTTTATTCATTATTACTATTGGAAGGAATTTTAGACATCTGATTAATAGTCAAACAATCTGATTAAAAAAAAAACGGTTTGATCCAACAATGCAAGTTTGTAAATAGATTTATATTGATCATGGATACTGACAAGTGACAGTCATTTGAGAAAGATAACATCCACATAGCAAATTCAAAACAATGCATGGGGGATACAAACCTGGGCAGAGGATATTGCATATGCGTTGAGATTGGGATCAATATAATAGCAGCTTACATGCAAGTCATCCCCCTAATACAAAGAAAACACACCAAATCAGTATGTATATGTATATGTATACGTAACGCAGGACGGAAACAGGATGAACCTGGATATTTGAGAATCCACTCAAAAACCGAAAATCAATTAACTCAAGATATCAAAAAACTTAAAACTGATTCTCAAAGCTTTACAATAGATCCTATTTATAGGCTAAGAAAACTCTTGGAAAACAAGCTAGGATTTAAACCTAATTGTACTCTAACTAGGAAGTAGGAAAGTAAATAAACTAAATTAATCCTAGGAAAGGATTCAAAATATATTATAAATCCTCATCTGACCAAGGGTGGAGAAACAATATAAAGAAAATAAACTAAAGATTTAAAGGAAATAAATTAATTGTTGCTAATGATCGAGAAGGACAGGCTCAACAGGGGTGTGGGCTTCTTTCAAACCCGTTTTCTTATCTCCCATTGATCCATATGAGAGTCTATCAACTCTCTGGGACTGGCTCAACATCAACATCTATACGTAGATATATGTGTATGTGTGCGTAATTGCGTATATAGTTCCAATGATAGGCACCCATGCACTAAATTAGTAAGAACAAAGACGGATCCAGAAAAAGAATCAAACACAAACTTCTAAAGCAAAGTTAAGTAGTGAGATGTGAAAATGGTTAATTCGGGACTCTAGCTTGTGTTTATTATTAATAGTTTAGTTGCCAATGATGTATGTTATTTTCTGATGACATTGTTATGGTAGTAGAAGTGTGGATAGATAGAGGTTGCACTTATTTTTAAGTTGTTTAGCTTATCGTTCTCCACCAACGTTATTGTCTGTACTTTGAACTGTTCTACTGTTCTTTGTTTTCTTAATGCTTGTTTGCATACACCACTATTTCAAGCTCTTCAATTACTTCTCATAAATTTCAAAACTCCTCTCTTAAGATTTTCCAAAACTTTTTCACATACCAGAGATCTAGAAAATGGCCTCTCTAGTCCTTTGGTAGAGAAAATGCTTGCATGCATCCTACCCTCCCCCCCCCCCCCCCCGGGGGGTAATCGTCACTTCCGGGTGGGATCTACTCGGTACGTTTGGTTAGACTGCATATATACCGGTTTTCTTTTTGTTTGAGTCTTAATATAAACTAGCTTCTTTAACAACTTATCGTTGATGATTTTGTTGGCATCGTTTAGAAATAGGATCAATAGGAACAAGTTCTAGGCTTCAAGGACGCAGATTTGCTTATCATAAATTTATTAATACGTTGTTGGTCTACAAAATGTTTTAGTAGAGCCATTTAAAGAATGTGACTAATAAGGCATTACATTTACTAAATTAATCCATGAATGGACATATATCATGTTTTCAATGCTTCTAATGAGTGTAAAAAAATGAATCGCTTGTATTGAACAAATTAACAAAGCGAGATAACAAAGATGCATACCTAACATCTTAAGATTATAGATCAGGCATATTAATCTCTAGACACCTTTATATTATTTAACTTTATTGTCGTTCTAGCTATAAATATGTAAGCTTACTCCTTCGTGACAGAAACATCATGGGTTTGAGTCATGGGAACATTCCATAAATGCAATGCATAACATCTGTATTTTCATACTATAAATATTAAACGGAATTTTGGGATTCACCAAGCTAATTTCGTTGTCAAAATAGGAATATTTGACTTTTGGGCGATAGCGACTTCTGGCACAGTAGCCTGGCACAATGATATTAGATGTAGCTTAGCTGCATACTAGTGATATCTGTTACAGTAGCACTGATGGTACTGAGAGTATGTTGTCCCAGCTATAGTGCCAAGAGGTTGTGACATTTGTCACGATAGCACTAGTGATAGCGAATGTTTGATCGTCCTGACTATATTGTCATGCGGTTGTGACATCTGTCACGATAGCACCAATAGTACCAAGTGTTTGGTCGTTCCAACGATTGTGACAATGTCATGATAGCGGGCACAATAGCATTGGATGTACCGAGAGTTGGTGCATCAGAGATATTGTGCCATGCAATTGTGACAATGGCACGATAGCAGGCACCATAACATCTGGCGCGATTGTGCCATGCGAGTGTGACATTGTCACAATTGCCGGGCACAATAGCATGAGATGTACCGAGCTGGTGCACAGTAGCATGCGAGTGCATCCGGAGGATTGTGCCATGCGATTGTGACACTATCACAATTGTCGGGCACTATAGTCAGCGGGCCCTGAAGCATAAAATGTTGTTTTGAGCTATAGTTTATCATTTTCTTCATCTCCTTCTCTCCCTCCATTAAAGTTGAACTTAGAAGCACTTAAAATAGATTTCAAGAGTTCGGTAGCATTTAAAGCCAAGAAAAGCATATTGGATCAAGATTCAAGCTCACATTCAAGTTCTAGTCTCCAAATCTTGATTTCTAGGGTTTTGGTTGGAATTGTTAGGTTTTCCTTACAAAGCCTAAGGTGAGTTCACCGTACCTTTACATCACTAAATACATGTTAAATCTTCACTTATTACACATTTGCAAACCTTATTCAAGATTATTTCAACTAGTGGACTTACATGGTGAATTTGGGGATTTTTGACCTAAATAACAAAATGAGTTATTGTGGGTAAACTTCTTGGTTCTAAAGACTTAGGTTCCCTCAATGGGATTTTCATCATTTGGATATTTGACCCCAAATATAAGTTTATTTACTCTCGTCCTATCACATGGTTTTTTTGGCACAAATAGAGGGCCCATAGCCTATTTGGGGGTTTCTAAACCATTTGGTTGTCTTGCTTTATCTTGGGAGTACTCTTGAGAAATATTTGTTTATTGGAATACTTGGATAGATGGGATTATAGTATGTAACCAAAATATGCTATATGATTTAGGAAATTTGTGCAATCTTTATGTTTATTAAATTCCAAGCTTGGTGTTGGGGTACTATAACCCTTATGCATGAGGATTGTAGTCTTTGTTTTATCAAGTAGGTTATATTCATTCCTACCTTGAAATACTAGTAAGTGGAAACTAAGGGGCTGTTTGGATCATGGGAATTGAAAGGAATTGAAAGGAATTGGAATGTCCAATCCTTTGACCAAATTCCAAATAGAGTGTTTGGTTCATGGAATAAGACTATGGAATCCTTTCAATTCCAGTCGATTCCTTCACGCACAGATTTTACAATTTCATGGCAATATGCTAGGATTTCAATTCCTTTCCTACAGATTCCTTCCCTAATCCAATTCCATGCAACCAAATGCAATCACAAGGCATGGTCAAATTCCATCAGATTCCATTCCATTCCCTCAAAGTCAAATTCATTTGATGAATTCCAATTCCATCGAATTCCATTCTACGAACCAGACGCCCCCTAAAGGTCGAATGGAGCCTTGAGGTGTGACTTAGCTAGCGAATGAGCATGCACTAAGATTCATAAATCTTGAGGTGAAACTCTTAGGAGTAGACACTAAAGCTATTTGAGGACTTGAGGTGATGCCATTTTGGGTGTGCACTAAAGTTATAGAATCTAAGGTGTAATCCCAATGAACATTAATACGCAGCAATACTTTTGTGTTCCTGCCACATTTAATGGAAACAGGTCTCTCTCGTCACTGAAAGATGTAGGGTATAAAAACTGTCAAGTTTAACCATTTTGAAATTTATGTCACGTAGTGCAATTGTTACCATTTCCGGGTAAAATCTTTTGTATCTACATCTTTCTACATATTGATTTATTGTTTCAAATAAAATTGTTTGAATTCACTAGGCATAAGCCTAACACTTTTTTCTAAATTAAATGTATATCAGGCCCCATTAGGGGCGGATCTAAGGCTCGTTGAGGTGGCAACGGTGCAGTTTAGAAGGATCGGGATATCATCATTTTGGGGGCGGCTTGTGAGGCAAAGTTGGACTTCTGAGGATGCGTAACACCCGGTTGTAATCTAGTTCAATCTAGAAATAGATTAGCAGGTTGTTAACTGTAATCCTATTGCTTGTTGGTATTTAATTACCCATACTCCCCCTTTTTCGGGATTAATTATCTCCATTCTATGGTAATAACCAGATTTTTAGAAGTTGTATTTTGCTTGATGTTAGGGGTGTTACACAATGAAATGTTGCAAAGAAAGACATCCCTTCCTAATCCTCACAAAGTTAAAGAGTCTCGCTCCACTAGGTTTGACCTTCTCTTACCATTAGACATAGGGTTAATTAAGTCATTATACTTATAACAAAATTGCTATGTCACTAACTAGATTTATGTGTCCCCACCCATGGCTATTGAATGTAAGCTACATCTTTGCATCATTTCTCTATTAATAAAGTACGCTTTTTGATAAGCCTAATGTTCCTTTCATGGTATCATGGTCAGATATTCCCCCCAACACATACTCTAACACCATCTTCTTGTTGCTACCCATCACAACCACAAAACCTGAAACCCCAGTTGTATATTGTAGATTGCAAAAAGAAGATATAAGGTTGCAAATTTCAACCACAAAACCTTGGAGAATGCTTTCCTAGAGAACCTTTTAGCATACACCTGGTGTAGGCATTGCGTTTGTGTCCTTTGACATCCTCCCCAACCTAATTCCTCGATTTGTTGCTCAAGGAAAGCATTTGTTATGCAAATTGCAGAAATCTTTATATGGCCTACACAACCATCTCGAGCATGGTTTCTTCGATTCAACCAAAGTTGTTAAAAGCCCAAGGCGCACGTAGCGCGCAAAGGGGTCTTGGGCCTAGGCACAAGGCACAGGCGCATCTTATAAAAAAAATAGATATCTATGATATACATACACACATAGTTACAGAAAACTTAAAGAGCGTTCCATAAAACATAGTTCAATTTCAATCTCAAAGAAGTAGTAATATCAAACGTATCTCAAAAAAGTCTTGACTAGTATAAGCCTACAATGCAGCAAGTACAAGCCTCCAATGTAGCAAGTACAAGCCTCCAATGTAGCAACCAGAAGAGGGAAGAGTTTAAAGTCGTGAGGAAGCAATTTTGGGTTTTAAAGCCTCGAGGGAGAAGTATAGG